GCGAGACGGCGATAATTCCGGTCGATGGCTTGCTGAAGTGCTGGAGGAGGAAATAACACCCGCTTCATGTTTTAGGTATATGGAGTCCCATCCTTGACGGACACGCTACGAGCTGGGGACATCCTTCCCGTACCCCGTCTGTCGTTCCCTCAACACTCGTATACAAAAGGCAACTTCGTCATGAGCCATCGCCATCCACTGGTATACCCGTACTGTTGTTAACCAAGTTATTCGCATGATGTTTAGGTCTTTCGATGTCTTCATATCTTATGCTTGTGTATGGTAAGTAATGTACTGTATGTATGTATGTATCGTAACAAGTGGAACCCACGTGACTTCCCAGCTTCCTGGTCTCGGTAACTCCGTAATTTACACGTTCTTTTGCCCAATGAGTATTTTTGGGTTATTCGGCTCTTCCGCCCTTCCCTTTTGCTCGATCGCTCGCAAATCCACAAAAGAAAAGAAAAAAAACCACTGCCAGTCCAAGAGCTAAGCAAAGCAGAGCCCACCGAGCCCACAGCCCACAACGTCCACGGAGAGCGTGGAACTAGTCACTTCTGGCCTGCGATTGGGTCGTTGGAGGGACCCGGATCCTTGGGGGCGGGCTGGCGGGCTGGCGGCGAATCTTCTGGCAGGCCCAGCGGTCACGATGGGTGGGCTTTTTTTCTTCCCACTGACGCAATCGATGCAATTATGGTTACAGCAGACAAGAGAGAGCAAAAAGAGAGAAGCGGTTCGAAAAAAAGAAAGAAAGAGAGAGAGAGAGATAGCAAGGCCGTGAGGCGAAAAAAGTGACCCCTTCCGCTCCCATCCGGCCGCCCATACCGTCCGTCCGCCACGCCTAAAAAACCCTTCTCCACCACAGCCAGGAACCAGAGTTGGTAGAAGGAGAACCGAAGAGGAAGAACCCTCTTTCTTTGGCATGTTCAGCTTTCGGTTGTCTTGATGGTATCTCAATTACCCGAATAATACGGCTCGTACCTGGCGGTAAACATTTGCGACTTGCCTCTTTGGACATCTTGCTCCGGCACAAGCTTAAAATAATCCAGGAGGGAGTCCGAGAGAAAAAAAAAATGGCAGATGCAGAAGGGGAAAAAAGGAAAAAAAGACGAGACTGCCGCGGTGTGTTAGATGATATTACGGAGTAATCCCGTATTCTCCTTGAAAGAGGGAGGGAATATTATATATGCATGGTGCAACCTGTCAACTATGGATTATATAACCCAGAAAGTTTGGAGGGAGTACGAAGAATACGGCGATATTATATCATAGTACATGCAAGTGCGGCCCGATCCTGCTTGAAAAAAGAAGGGTCGGCCCAAAAAGGCTGTACGACGTCGGGCAAAAGGATTGGTGGAATATATCTGGTTTACGAGCAACTCTCCCATGGCATGTCTCGTTTCTCTTCGACTCTACAAAACTCTTGTCGTTCTTCCTTGCCCTTGGATGGTGGCTGAAAGGGTGGAGTGCTTTTACTTTATTTCGATTTCGTCATACCGCTTCTTTCGCCTGCACGGGCGGGCTATCAGTTGGGTTGTAATGATGCTTATCTGCAGCTTCCCGCTTTCATACGTGCATACGTCTTGTGATGAGCAGAGAGGGAGAAAAGAAAAGAAAAGAAACCACCGACATGAGGATACCGGACCAGTATCAGCATTAATGGGCGATTTATGCTGGCCTGGGATACCGCCTGATACTGGGGGGGGGGGACGATATCGGAGGAGATCACACTTTTACCGCAGGACACACGAGCAATGAGGAAGACCATGGTACATACATACCTTCCCTCCCCCTCCTCCGTACTCCTCCGTGCTATTAAAAGGTAGTGTGGTTACAGTTTTAACTTTGTCCAACCTGCATGCATACCACGCGGACGCTACTGCAGCACTCCCTTTCTTACCCGCTTCTCTAAGGGGGGGACTGCCGACGGGACTCCGCAGAGAAGATGGGAAGCACATGTATACAAAAAATAGGAAGCCGATGATACGGAGTACACGACTGGGTTTCTTTGGGATAAAATTTTGGGATAAAATACCAAACCACGTACCTGCAGAAGTGGTACATCTTCCTGGGTTGAATTTTTCCCCACTGTTTCAACTTCCGTTCAGCATGTTTTGATTTGAGGAGGGGTCTAAGATGAGATTTGAGATTGGTAGACGAGATGACGATCTAAGCTCAATCTTCGATAGAAGAGAAAAAAAAAAAAAAGAAGAAGGGATGTTGCCTGCACAGAGTAGCATCTCCCTATAGACGATAAGGTTCATGCATGAAAAGGCGAATCATCCGATAAGAAAGACCCCGAACGGAGTTTATGCTACCTTATCGGCAACTGGTCTAGAATGTCTA